CCCCCCTAACTCCCCACCCCTCCCCCTTCTCCGCTTCTCCGCCGCTTCCCCCGCCCGGAGTGACGTCACGCCTGACGTCGTATCGCGACAGCGCTGCCGATCTTACCGGCCCCCCCTGAACCCCGAAGCGGCGGCGGCGGCGGCGGCGGCGGCGGCCCCGGACGCGGCGGCAAAGATGGCGGCGGCCTCCAGAACCTTCCCCCCCCCTCCTCCTTCGCCCTGCCCGCGGCGCTCGCCCCGCCCACTGCGCGCTCCTATTGGCTGCGGCGCGGAGCTGCCGCCTCTCTATTGGTCGGGGGATGCGTCCGTCAAAGCTCGGAGGCGCTGATTGGTCGCTAAGCCTCCAAGTGTCGGCGCGGCTGATTGGTGGATGAGACGCGCGCTGTGATTGGCTGAGAAAGGGGAAAGGGGCGGGCCCCGCCCCTTCCCGCTGCGCCGTCGTCATGGCAACGCGGCCTAGCGCGGCCTGCGGAGCCTGAGCTGGAGTAAGGAGGAATCGCGGCGTCCAAAAACTCGGGAAATAAAAGAGATTTTTGGGAATAAAATCCTGGAAATGGGATTAAAAAGCGCTGAGGGAAGCGCGGGTGGCGGCGCGGGGGGGCAGAGGGGGATTTGAAGCGGTTAAAACGAGGCGGCTTAAAAAGAGAGGGGACAGCAAAGCTAAAATAACTCCAAATATTCCCTAAATTCTGCCTGCGGTCCAAATTCCCAAAGTTTTACGGGAAATTCCTCATTTCTCCCGATTTTTCTGCTTTGGGAGCAAAGGGGGCTCAGTTTGAGGGGATTTGGGAGGTTTTGGGTTCAAAATCCTCAATTATTGGATCCAATTCCTTCAATTCGCCTCAAATTCGTCAAAAAATTGGACCCAAATCGCCTCAAATTGGGATTTTTGGGGATTTTTCCAGAGGTTTGGGAGATTTTTCTGGGATTCTTTCGTTTTTTCCGTTTTTTTTGTGATTTTTTAGGGTTTTCTTCCGAGTTTTTCTTCATTTTAATTTTGATTTTTGGGGTTTTTTTAAAGGGTTTTATTTTTCTTTTTATTTTTAATTTTTGGGGTTTTTTTTCTGAGGTTTTTTTTTAATTTTTATTTTTAATTTTTGGGGTTTTTTTAAAGGGTTTTTTGGGGATATTTCTGGGAATTTTCTTGGGAATTTTTATTGGAATTTAGGGAGGTTTTTGTGTGATTTTAAAATGATTTTTCCAAGAATATTCCCGGATATTTTCTGATGTTTCCCCAATTTTTGTCTCATTTTTTTAATTCAGTTTTTAAAATTTTTCAGGAATTTTCCTGGACCCGCCCAAATTTTCCCGGAATTTTCCCGTTTTTCTTGAAAATTCTCCAAACTCCCCCCAAATTTTCCCAGATTTTATTCCAAAATTTCCATTTTTCTTTAATTTAACCCAAATTTCTTCCTTTTTTCCTTCCAAAATTCCTCCAATTTTTGCCCAAATTCTCCCAAAATTCCCTTTTCCCTCCCATTTTCCCAATTTTTCCGCAATTTTCCCTTTTTTCCCCCATTTTTCAACTCTCCCTGAAATTTTTTTTATTTTTTCCCAATTTTTTTAAACTTTTTCCCAATTTCTCCGTTTTCCTCCCGAAATTTTTTCCGTTTCCCACCAGAATTCCCCAAAATTTCCTTTTTTTACCTCATAAATTCCCCCAAAATTCCCATTTTTTGGCAAATTTCTCCATTTCCCCCCCAAAATTTCTCCCTTTCACCCCCAAAAATTCCATTTTCTCCCAGAATTCCCCAAATTTTTGCCGTTTTCCCCCAAAATTATCCCGAATTTGCCCATTTCTTCCCATATTTCCCATTTTTCCTCCAAATTTCTCCTTTCACCCCCAAATTTCTGCATTTTCCCACCGTAAATCCCCAAATTTCCCCCCAAAATTCCATTTTTCCCCTAAAATTCCACTTTTTACCCCCAATTTCCCATGTTTCCCTCAAAATTCCCAGGCTTTCTCCGAAATTCCTGGATTTTCCCCCAAAATTCCATTTTTTCCCTCAAAATTCACCTTTTTTTCCCCCCAAAAATTCCACTTCCCCTCCAAAATTCCCCAATTTTCCCCCAAAATTCCCTTTTTACCTCCCAAATTACCATTTTTTTCCCCAAAATCCCATTTTTCCCCGGAATTCCCATTTTCCCCCCAAAATTCTCAAACTTTCCCTCTCAAATTCCCAAGTTTTCCCCCAAAATTCCCATTTTCCCCCCAAAATCCCCCCAAAATTCCCATTTTCCCCCAAAATTCCCAAATTTTTCCCCAAAATTCCCATTTTCCCCCAAAAATTTCCCCAAATTCCCATTTTCCCCAAAATCCCCCCAAAATTCCCATTTTTCTCCCAAAATTCCCATTTTCCCCCCCAAATTTCCCATCAAAATTCCCAAGATTTCCCCCCAAATCCCAGATTTTCCCCCAAAATTCCCAAACTTTTCCCCCCAAATTCCCATTTTCCCCCCAAAATCCCATTTTTCCCCCAAATTTTCCCCCAAAATTCCCAAGTTTTCCCCCAAAATTCCCA